TATAAAAATAAATTTACTGCACTTAACTTATATATTTACATATATTTATAATTTAAAAATCAGATTTAATACACAAATCCCACATTCTCGCAATAATATGGCGCCAAGTGAAAACAAAAATGAAAAAGTARCTGTAATTTATTTTACTCAGACATTTTGTAACTAGATCAATTTTTTTTTTTTTGTAATAATAATTTAATACCTATTTCATGTATCTAGGTATAAGAAATAAAATAAAACTTTCAAAAGTTTAAAAGTAAAATTTTACTKTTTGAAAATCTTTWTTGATTTAGAAAGCGAAACCATTTATACATAATTTGTTTTATTTCGACCTAATATTTTAGGAAACCAAAATTAATATTATTATTATTATTCAAAACTATATACTTAAAATAATTTAAATTCTGGATTTTCTTTAATAAAAACATGTTAAATGCATAGTATAAAGACACAAATAACTAAATAGATCATATTATTTTCAAATTTTAATTGGCCAAACAATAAAACTTACATAATTATATTGTGTGGTATCATATTGAATGTAAATTTATAAATTACTTTACTAAATAGTTTTAAATATATATTATAATTTGTAATTAATATCAATAACAAACATTATAATTTCAATTTATCATTGAAGCATAATCAAACGATTTATTAATTAATAATCATATATACATTATGTACTCTAGCTATATAATAGAATTACATAATTTTGAGTTACTAYATAGGCAATGTTACTAAATTAATCAACTTATAAATATATTATGTTCATCAACTTTTAAATTTAAAAAAAATCCACCGTTTGAGCTTAATTTTACAAAAATCTTTCACTATATTTATTATTTTTATAATTTCACGCACAATTATAATCATCGCATTACTTGTTAACCCTCTAATATTCGGTGTAACCGCATATCGTGCATGATAAAACAGACGTATTTAGTAAATTTCATAGTTAATCCTGCAGGAAACGGGTTGGCTGGGAAGGCATTATATTACACGCCGTTGGCGTATTGCACTTAAAGCCGATTATCTCGTGTGTATACACTATACATACCAAATAATCCGTCATTATTTCATACTTCATTAAACAACATTATCACAAAAGCGAAATCATATTATTTGACAGATAAATAATTGGACCACAGGGGAATATATGCGTCGGACCTGGGCTATCCATGTTATTATTGTATTATTATAAAGTGGCTGAGCAGGTAGGCAAAAGTTATATTTATATGTGTATGACTTCGAATTTCGAGTCTAAATATTACAATTTTTTACTTTTTCTTTTCTTTCTCTTAACAATAAATGTTTTTTTAAGAGTACAAAATAGTCTAGGTATACACGGCGGTTCGATTAGGCAATTTAGGTACATTAACGTCTTGAAATAATATTCGCTCAACAACTACGTMTTTAAACTATAACATTGAAATATTTATAGTCAGTTAACAACARTTTAAAATAATTTATTAAATAATAAATAACGTATTATTATTATTATTATTTAAATAGCTATATTATATACATTCAATTAAAAACCTTAAAAAAATCTGATGGCACTAAATTTGAAGAAGTAAAACAAAAATCAGTCATGTTTTCTATAAAGTTTACACCCTTGAATTACAAAATAGTTGGTAAAGCAGTTTGAAGATGAAAAGGTAAAAAAAAATTGTAAATTCAAAACAAAAAAATCAACCCCTCTAAAAAGAGCTCCGTCCGGAAAGCTAGTACCCACCACAAAAGTGGGCACGTTATTTATACACCGGGTGGTGAATGAATATTCATGCTATATATACTATCCAACMGACTAACGCTCGTGAATACCATCGTCATCATAATATTATATAATGTATATAAATATTTTTATT